GTAAGTAAAAAACTTTCACTAAATGTGGATAAAACAAAATATATACTTTTCCTAAAGTAAATAAGTCAGAAAACATTTTTCTTAAATTACCAAATCTTATAACTAATAATACTTATATTAAAAGGGAAACATACGTAAACTTTTTAGGAATAAAACTGGATGAAAATTAACTGTGGTACTCTCATAAAATATTACAATGGTGTTTAAGGCTAAACCTTTTCTAGATGTAACATTCCTAAAAGAATTAAATTTTGCTTTTGTTCACATTATTTATCTTACTGTAATATTGTGTGAACTAGTACTGGCTATACAAAACTTAAGAAAATCTACAACAAAAAAAAACATGCGTGCAGAATAGTGTTTCCAACCTATAGAAATGCTCCTTGCAAACCACTTTTACGTGCGCTCGGTGTTTTAAATGTGTATAAACTCAATTTACGCCAAGTTTTATTGTTCATGTATAAAACAAAAATGCGATTGTTCCCAAAAATCTTTCAAAGTTGTTTTAATAAAATTAATCTTAAGTATTCAACAAAGTTTTCATATATTAACTTTGTTCTTCTCAAATATAATTTAAAATTAATATCCTATTCAATTAAATACCCCAAAACTTATTCGTTGAAAAAATTCCTAGATAATGTCAACAAAAACAAGCCTACATTAGAGCAATTTAAGAATGTATCAAAACGATTACTACTGTGTACTGTGTACTACTGTTCAGGGAACAGCAGTAATTGTCTTAATTTATCTGACTATTTCTTTTAAAGCTCAATCAAATAAAAGCAGATTTGTTTATACCAATGAAACTCAAGCGATGATGTTATAAATTCATTTAGTGATTATGTTAATTATGAAATTTTATATTATTATTTTTTTATTCCAAAATTTTTGTTTAAGTGATTCTTAAACATTATAGCGTTTGTAAGCATTTTAACACTTCTTAATTGATTGCAATTATTAATTTCTATATTTTCTTACTTATTTTCTATTTTAATTCTGATTTATATTTTTACATATATTTATATGTTACGGTTATGTAGAGTTTTTTTTTTATATATGGGGCTCGGCGATAAGGAAAAATTTGCCTTCTTCTTACTCCAGCCATTGGTTTCGATATATGTATATGTAATGTAAAGATTCGGTGAAATAAATTATACAAACACACACACACACACACGCAAAAAATTATCTAAAAGTTTATTTATTAGAGAAAACTAAATAAGTTAATTCAACTTATTTGTAACATAACACTATATTTAAATAAGTTACTTCTATTTGTTAAAAATGATTATTATTTATTCTTCTTCTTCTTCTTCTTATTTTTTTCTTAATATTTTTTTAGGTGCTCCAAGAAGTCCATACGGTCTAATTTGCCCCAAGGAGCCCGTATCGTCTTATTATGTGCTCGCCAATGACGTTTAAATATATATTTATACGTCATTGGTGAGCACATAATAAGACGATACGGGCTCCTTGGGGCAAATTAGACCGTACAGTTATATATATAACTAGATGCGTGACTTGAGTTAAAAAGTGAAGCTAGCCTCCGCTATCTTGCGGTAAATTCTGAAAGCGTTTCATAGGGATATATGATTAATTAGAACTGGATATAAGTTTTCAAAAAGGTTTTAACTGCTAAATTTTTAAGAACTACTTCTTTTTGAAAAATTGCAGAGTTATGGTTATTTCGTGCTGCGCATCGAAAATTTGTGCACAAATCGCCAAAAACAAAAACATAGCGTGTCGTTTCACAGGAATGATGAAACACTAATAAGTATAAGTGTTTCATCATACCTGTGAAACGACTCGCCTTATTTTTGTATTAGTATAATACTAATACAAAGTAGTAATGTAATAATACTAACAGTATTATACTAATACTAACTGTCGTTAGTATTAGTATAATACTAATACAATTAGTATTAGTGTTAGTATTACTAACAATACTAATACACTTATAATTAAAATGTAATACTACTATTTATTGTATAAGTTATTACAAGGCATATTAATAATTGTATATTATTAATGATATATATTATTTTTTATTTTATTTTACTTTGTAAATTGCGCATTCCTATAAGGAAGTCATTATTTGTACGTGAATACTAATAATGTTTACATACATACAATGCATGTATGTCAATGATATATTAAAAATAACTAGATGTCTAACTTCCACGTATTTTTTGAAGCAAAAATCAGCCATTATGGGGGGGCAAAAATAAATAGTAAATCACGGTTGTTTGGATCAAATAATATTTAATATTCAAAAATTAGAAATCATGGTTAATTCTTGTGCAGCAGCAGGTTGCACAAATAGAGCAATGAAAAACAACAACAGAGTATTTCATAAACTTCCAATTAGTAATAGCGAACTCTGTAAAAAGTGGATTGTTGCTATAAAACGTGAAACATTCCTACTGAGCACAGCTGCATTTGTAGTGATCACTTTTTACCTTCAGATTACAATATACCTGATTTTAATAACAAACCGCAATTAAAACCTTTTTCTATGCCATCTATTACTATTGATTCAAAACCAAAAGTCAAAAGAAAGTTTAGTTCTATATCGCCACAAACAAATAAAAAGAGACTCATTTAAAAAGTTTCAGAAACAGGCAGTCACCATTACATCGATTTCTATTCGGATATAAGCGATAACAGTAATGTTGCTGCTAATATTAACACATTTTATATTTTCACAAAAAATATTGGTAATACTTTTTGTGAAAACTTTAGTGGATTGACTTTTGATATTATAAAAAATCAGTTTAAAAACAATACCTCACTTCCTAAAGGGCATAGGTATACTGATAAAATTAAAAAATTTGCAATAACTCTGCATTTTTACTCACCTAAAGCATAAAATTTTCTACGGCCTAAAATTTCTACTCCATTTACCTGCTTCAACTTCAAGCTCTTTAGCCACCTGGACTTCTTTTGTAGATTGTAAAACTGGTTTTTTTTGAAGATGTTTTAAGTTATATTAATATAAAAGCAGTGGCTGATATTAATTATAAAGATTGTGCATTAATTATAGATGCAATGGTAATCAAAACATCCGTTCTAAGTGATAAAAAGGCAGGTCAATTCATAGGCTTTATAGATATTGTCGCAATTGAACCAAATACACCAGCTACAGAAGCATTGGTATTTATGCTGGTAGGATTACGAGGTCATTGGAAAACACCTACTGGCCTTATGCTGTGTAGTAAAATAACAACTGAAAACCTTTGTCTTATTAAAAAAGCATTAACAATTTCTTCTGATGAAAAAATTAATGTAAAAAAATTACATTTGATGGTGTAAGTGTTAACTTTAATTCTGTTGCATCACTAGGATGTACATTTGGGAAAAGACTAGAAAAAATTAAATGGACAATTTACTTTTGAAGGCTATTATCACTACTTGTATGTAATCCCTGACCCAAGTCATTTGCTAAAATTAACTAGAAATGTGTTATGCGATTTAGAGCGACTTAAGGATTGTAATTTTTAAATAGCTCTGGATTTATTATAAGAAGATTATTATAAGATAACATGTTCTGTTTGTGCAAACTCACACAAAACAATTTTGTGGAATATTCTTATAGAGCATCAGTTCTTTCATTGATTAACATAAAAAATAGGAATGTGCTTATTGCTCCAAAAAATGGTGTTATACAAACTATAATAGTATATGAGAACGTTTTCAAAATTTATGTCAGCAATGACAATTTCAAAAAACCAAAAATGAATGTGGAGCGAAATCTTAAACTGAAAATGATTTATGCAGTTAATAAAATTATTATTGAAAAACATTTTTTTTAAAGACCTAAATGAACACGATGCTGACCATGAAGCTGTTACCGAAGACATGCATTGCACACAACTAATAAAAATGTTAGCAAATGACTTTTTTACAATCAGACTGCAAAGATATGGCCAATTATATACAGAAAAGTTGGTCTATATATATATATATAATGATTGGTCTACGTCAACAATCAAATAAATTAATTTTATTCAAAGGTTTATAGCATATATATATATATATATATATATATATATATATATATATATATATATATATATATATATATATATATATATATATATATATATATATATATATATATATATATATATATATATATATATATATATGAAAATATTATAAATAAAAATATTAAATTAAGTTTTACTAACTGCTACTTTTCTTGATTTGTTGTTTATATTGAAAAACTTGCTTTTTAAAGGAAAGATATTCTTTATATACCTGAGTACCTATAAAGCTTTTTTTGTGTTGAAAACCTTACTAGATTATAACATAACATTGATTGAAATTTATTTAATTGACGGTAAATCAATTATAGAAAAAAGTAATAATGATTTTTATGATAACAAGAAGTATTTAACCATAAATAAAATTCTAACATTTCTAGAAGGAACCTCTAAGTTGTGTCAAACAGAACTTAGTTAATAGTCAAGACAGTTTTATAAAATGTTTCATTACAAGTTTTAACTCTGTTTACCTTGCAGTTATGTTATAAAACCTCCTAGCATTACTGCAGAGGGTAATTAATGACTAACAGGCGCATAAAATGTTAATAGATTAAAGATTAAAATCCAACTAAATCTAAGATTTTAGCTGAATGTTAAATTTTAAAATCATTCAAACTTAAATTTTAAAATAAAAAAAACGAAATAAGTATGATTTTGAAATGTTTAAAAAAACAATGAATGTTTACATAATTATTAAATTTTAAATCAAAATCAAAATAACATCAAATTTTTCAGATATCTGTGTATCGATTTTTTATTGATTACATTTTTAAACAATTTTAAGCTTCATATTTGTTTTGTTTTGATTAACAGCGTAAAGATTTTGCCCCCCATAATGGCCGATTTTTGCTTCACTTTTACTATACCGATTTACGGCAGTTAGACATCTAGTTATTCTTAATATATCATTGATGTATTATGTACGCAGCAATGTATTATGTACACAGCAAAAAACATAACGCTAAAATAACGATTACATAACGGTAATTGAAAATTTTGGCGATATGTTCACCTTTATGTTAGCGTTATGTAAAGTTTAAAGCTTTATGCCCAAAACTATTTGTATGATATTTGTAAAGCGTTATGTTTAACCGTTATGTTTACAAAATAAAAAATTTTTGCAATTAGATTTTTTGTTTATAATGTCTCTACTATTTTAGTTTACTTATTTTATTTACATACGGTATTTACCACTTACTAAGTAGCTTAGCTATAAAACAGCATTTTGGTTGTTAATTAATATATATTTATTAAACGGTAAAAAATTCAATGTAAAGTTAAAACACTTTATTGGCGATTCATTAACTTGCAATGCAATTGCTGGTTTTAAAGAGGTTTTTAGTAAGAAAGTTGTGAGGTGCTGTAGAGTTTGTAATTCGAACAGGTCAGAAATGTTAGTTTATAATAAACATTCTTAGTGTAAAGTAAGGAGTTTAGAAGAACACAAAATAAGGGTCAAAGAACTAGATAATCCTAGTTTTCCTCGAGTTGAACGTGTAAAATGGTCAAAAATATATGGTGTTCAATCTAACAGTATTCTATCTGAAATAAAAGAATTTGATGTGACAAAGCAAGTTTAAAATTGCATGATTCAAGTAAAGATAGAACTTTACTTGAATCATGCAATTTTAAATGGTTTTTTTTACAATAGATAGCTTAAACAAATTTGTCAAATTGTTTCAGTACCCTAAAGACAGTGAAAAACCACCTGTAATAGTAGATTTGGTTATTAAGGGGAAATTTGGTAGTGCTCAAATTCTTTCTATTTGTCGTATTTTACCAATTTTGCAATTGATTGTCATTTCTCCTGCCTTATTAAACAGCTGCGTATTCTTCAAATGTGCCTCTCTCCGATTACCACTGAGGCTTACTTTATCTCTTTAGAAGAAGCAATTAGAGTCCGTCATACTCTTTTTATGGATTTATATCCAGATAAGTTTATACCAAAGCTTCATTTTCTTATTTATTATCCTCAGCAATCCAGACAATTTGGTCCACTACGATACCACATGTGCATGGCTTTTGAGAGGAAATACCAAGTAATAAAAAATGTTAGGCATTTTAACTTCGAAAATATGCCTTTTAGTGCTATGAAGAGTATGGTTTTTAAACACTATAGCTTCTTTTTATAATTCTTTTGGAAAAATTAGTAATGGAGTTCTTTGTAAATTAAATCAAGTTACTATAAAAAAAAATGTTGTTACTTGCATCCGGATTAATGGTGTTAAATATTGTCCTGAATCGTCTTTATGGTTTCATGATGATTTTCAATCTTTTGCTTATATTATTAAAGAAATACATGTAAAAGGAGAAAAAACAATATTTATTGCCTCACAACTTCAGAGCCTTACTTACAATGTGTTGCGAGGTTTTTTTTACTGCTGTTGAGGACAATACAGTTCCTTTTAAAACTATTTCAGCAGAAAACTTAAATTTTCCATGGCCAGCATTTTATTATAAGGAAGGGGACATTTCCTATGTTGTACCCCCAGCATTGCCAGTCCTTATCATTTAGTTGCATTGAAAGAAAACTAGTTTTAATAAAATGTATATATTTGCAATAAATATGATTGCTCAGTCTGATTTGCTTTATTTATTTTGTCAGTTTTAGTTGTTGTAAATGTTTTATTTTTTAATAAGTTTCACAAATGTTTTAAAAGAAAATCTTGTTTTTTATTAACTTTATGTTTTATATATTTACATTAATGATATATATTTAGATTAACAGAATTCCTTTTGATGGCGAGACTAAATAAACTCTTATTGATTTTTTTCCACCTCATATTAAACTATTTCTGAGCAACAAGTTTTCAATTGAAGATAAGGTGGTATCTAGAGAGCTAATGTCTTGTTTATTAGCTTTTTGTTGTTTGCATGTGTCTAATCATAGCAATATACAAAATAGAATATTGTTACGGAAAGTATTTTTTGCAAAGTTAAAGTCTACTTGCATTTCCTTATATCCTTTTTACATCATTAAATGGGTAATAACGTCTTTAATACTATAATTTTTATTTTCATTAAAATTGCTAATAATTATTATTTAAAGAAATATTTTTGGCCTTCTTCTTTTTCCTTTGTTTTTATATTTTTCTTCTGGTTTACAAATTTCCTGCTGCATACATAAATTTTTCGATTCGATTTATTTAATTAAACATTTGAACTTTTTATTTTTATATTAGGATCTCTTGTTCAAAAAGTTGCCCAATAATTATAGACAAAGACAATTTAGTAAATGTCTCAGTTTAAAAGTGAAGCGATTTCCTAATTTTTCTGTTGTAAATAGCAGCTGAACAGTGAATCCAATTTTGTCATAATCAGTTATAGATAAAGAACAGCTAATACAAGATATTGTAGTAAGATGTTTTTTGTGTTCATTAATTTTTTGATTATGATTTCTAATTCTAATATAAAAAATTATAGTCTAAATAAATTAACTTGGACGCAAAAAATTTAGAAATATTATAACTATTTGTCAGCTCATTATTTTATTTTATTAAACAGCAATAAAAAAGAATATATATAACTCTTTCTTTCTCCTAGAATGAATTTAAGAAGAAAAAGCCATTGCTTTTAACACTATCCATTCTAAACAGACAACTTTTTAATAATGAGATTTATAGTGTTTTTCCAAAAAGAGTTACATTTGCTCCTGGATTAATGCTGGAAGAAGCAATTCGTTTTTACCATAGTTTTAAAGACTCGGATCTTAAGATTCAAAAGATATTTGGATTTCTCCTGAGTCTCAAAACCACACTGAAAATTTAATGCTGCTGCAGAAATCACTCATTTCTAAGAAGACAACGGAAAAATTGTTTATGAAAGTTAATGTAAGTTTTTTTAGTTTTTTTAATTGGTATTAAGCAAGTTCTATAAAGTATAAACTTAACATATACTTAAACCCATTTAATTTTAATAATAATTTTTTCTTTTATCGTTGTAATATTTATTTTGTATTTATAATATTTCAGTGTGATTCAATACATGATAGCTTAAGAGTGCCAAGCCTATATGGTCCACAAATTATATTTAATAAAACAGAGTATGGTGTAAGGAGTCGAAGTGGTGTTGAGATTGATGTTCAGCCCTTGCTCAGTACATGCGAAATGGTGGTCGTTTTGATGGGTGTTTATAATTATTTGATTTAACGTATCCTTCTTGTTTCGGGCAGCTTTTAGGATGTTTGCAAGATATTTGCAGATTTGGGCAATCAGATTTACTATCTAAAAAATTCTGCAATCTTTTCATAGCAATGCAAAGTACTTTTGACTTTATTAATGTTAATTTTTATCAATGTTAATTTCTTCAATTATTTTCACGATTATGAAAAATATATTTAATATAAATATATTAAGGTATTAAACTGCATGAATTATTTTTTTTAAATTAAACTTTTATTAACATAAAAATTTTCAAGGTTAGTTTGAGGAATTATTTGGATATTGGAAAAATGGAAATTGATCCTTTTTAGAGATATTGGCTATAAAACAAATTCAAAATAGTGAATTTTAAGTTTTATAATTGTTCACATATCTCAGCACCACAAAATACACCAAATTTGTTTATGCTGCATTTATACTTCTTGTATTGAAGATACATACCTAAAAATGTCAAATTTTGATTTCACTGTACACCCTGTAATTTTTTTGTCTGTAAATTGACCAATAAGTTCCCTGAAATAGACTAAGTCTTTAATATTTGAAATTATTTTGAAAGAAAAAATTATTTGTTCGTAAGTTGAAATTCTGAAGAAATCTTTTTGGTCCATAAAACCTACAGGAGGTATACATTTCAAGAAAATATAAGATTGTCACCCAAGAAGGTTTGGCTCATCTTATATGGAATCATCCTATTATATGCTTATGATATATAAACTTTTATACTATAATAGTATTATTATTGTAATATATTATATGATAATTTTATAATAAATTTTTTCTAGTAATATAATATAAATTAGTGTAGTATTGTTAAACTAATTAAATTGTGCCAAATAATGCTGTTTAATAATGTTGTTTAATAGTTGTGTAATAATGGTGTTTACCTCTTACCGTCTGACCTCTGTTTATTATTACTGTTTTTAACATTAATTTTGTATTGCAAGTATTAAAAAATGTTAAATATACTATTTGTAAAATTAAAGTTGTATAAACTAATAATAACTGCTTTACTTATTTCTACAACTGTTAATAGTTGAAAATAATAAAGGCTGTTGTTGTCAAATTTCTTAGGGAAAGAAAATTGTTCTCGCTTGTAATATTGCTGACATTTTAACTAATGGTAAGCATATTTTGTATTGCAATGGTTCACATTCTTTTTTCTTTTTTCCATTTAATGTATTAATAATAGTTTGTTTATTTTATGATTGTGATAATTATTTTTTATTTATAAAATTTTAGTGATTTACTACATGAATAGTTATGCCAAAGCTTATATGGTCCACAAGTTATCTTTAATAAAACAGAATATGATGCAAGAAGTTGAAGAGGTGTCGAAATGGATGTTTAGCCCTTGGTCAGTACATATAGTGGTTGTTTTGACGGTTGTTTACTATTTGCTAGATTTGACATATTCTTGTTTTGGGCGGCTTCTGGGATATTAGCAAGATATTTGAGGCTTCTTGCAATTGGCTTTATTGTCTAAAAAATGCATTTTTTTTCTGCAATCTTTTCAAAGCAATGCAAATTAATTTTGAATTTATAAATGTTAATAAGTTATTTTATTCAATTATTTTGTAAATAATTTATTCAATTATTTTGTAAATAATTTATTCAATTATTTTGTAAATAATTTTGTAAATTCAATTATTTTGTAAATAATTTATTCAATTATTTTGTAAATAATTTTCATGATTATTATAAATAATATAATATAAATATATTATGATATGAAACTGCATAATTTTTATTTTCTTATTACAACTTTTATTGTCAAAAAAATGTTTTTTTGTTAAGTACTTTCTGCGAATAGTCATGCAGAATTATGTGTTTCTTTAAAAATATAACTTTCATTTTACATAACGGTAACATAACGGGTAATTACCCGTTATGTTAGGTTTTCAACATAACGGTAACCTAACGGGTAATTACTCGTTATATAACGGGAGTTTTCCTCGCACATAACGGTAAATTAGCGTTATGTAACCGTTATGTTTAAGGCAATTTTGCTATGACTAAACATAATGCTAAACCGTTATGTAATTTTCATACATGTTAAGTATTAAACATAACGGCAATTACCCGTTATGTGCGACGAAAACTCCCGTTATGTTTTTTAAAAATATAACGGGTATTTTATTTACTGTTTATGTATGTATGCATGTATGTATGTATGTATGTATGCATGTATATATAAACTAAAAATATATTAAAAATTAATTCTCTATAGATCCATAATTAATCAAATCAAATTTAATTTTGTCAAAATAATAAAAACTTCATGACTAATTATTATTTAGATAAATAATTCTCGATGTTTTTATAGTCGTGTCTTATATGTTTGCCGTACCGCAATATGGCGGACGCTGGCTTGACTAAGTTATACGCAAAAAGCTACGAGTTACGTATCTAGTTATATTTATACGTCATTGGTGCTCACAGAGCACCGCAGATGAACATTTGAAAAAATGTCACAGATGTACCAATTTTTTTAAATTTTTTCTTATTTAGATTTTATTATAAAATATGGAAAACCAACATAAATTAATTTGAAATATACAATTTTATAAAAAGACACAATAACCGCATGTTTAACCCTTTTTTATTATAAATTTTTTGAAAATAAAACTTTGATCAACCAGGAAAATTTTCGCCCACCTTTAAACTATTTGCGTTTGAAAAGATTTCGTTTATAGATAATTTTTGAAAATTTTTTGTCTGCTTTTGTTTGCTTTTGTACCTATAGGATCAGTCCTAACATGACGTACCTAAACTAAAATGCGGCTCCCCCTCTCACTCCCAATGTTTTTGAAAGAGTTTGGTGATAATGAATAGCGGAATATTATGGTATAAAAACGGACAAAACGAAACTTAAACAAAACAATCAAATAAACAGGATCGATTAAACAAAATAATCAAAACAAATAATAATCATTAGTTATTTAGTGCTGTAACCAATTTGGAGTAGTCAAAGGAGGCAAAACCCGAAATTTGCATATTGATTTTTCAAAGATTTGCTAAAGCAGAATATGATTTTTTTAATGTCAACTGAACTCAGAACAACAACCATAGACTTATTTCAAGTCAAGCACAAGTTAGAGTGTACTATGATTGATAGGAAAGTTTCCACATTTATTTCTCCATTAAGTGATTCTTATCAAGTTTGCACTATATGTGGATTCTATCCTAAAAAACTGAATGACTTTATAATTACGTAAAATAGACAACCTGACCAGATGTCTTTGGACCTTAGAATTCACACTCTCCATCTCTGGATTTCTTGTTTTGAATGTCTGTTACATATCGGACAGAGAAGAAAACCAGTATACAATGATCGCGGATGTTTTCATGCAAACACTCCTGAAAAGAAAAAAATAGTTGCAAGTAAAAACAAAGAAGTTTAAGAAAAAATTAAAGATACACTCGGACTTGTTGTTGATGTACCAATGAGTGGTGGTTCTGGACATCCAATTATGGAAATACAGCAAGAAAAACATTTAGAAGCCATGAAATTTTTGCTAAAATACTTGGAATTGATAAGGATCTTGTTAAAAGATTTTTTATTATACTTTGTGTATTGTCCTGTAAGCACCGAATTGATCCAGATAAACTAGAAATATATTGCAAAAATATATTTAAGGTATATGTAGCACATTTTAAGTGGGACCCTATGCCTGCTGTAGTGCACAAGATGATTGTCCATTCACACCAGGTTGTAAGAGACAAGTCAGTTCCAATTGGCGTCTTATCTGAAGAAGCCCAGGAAAGTAGAAACAAAGATGTTAAAAATTTTCGGGAACATTTTAATAGAAAGTTTTAAGAAAAATTATAAATGAAGATTTAATGCGAAAATTGCTTTTTTCATCACGCTTATTTATTTTTTCTGTGAGGCAAAGTTCTGAATCAAAGAAGGAATTTGCTCTTCCAGCAGAATGTTTAGACCTTCTTTTATAATTTTATTACTACAAAATAAAAGAAAGTAAATCAAAAACTGAGTTTATTGTCAAATGTTAAAAAAAAAAAGATTTCGAAAATATCAAAAGAAACTGAAGAGTAAAAATAAACAAGTCATTCTATAAACAAAGAAACACTTAAAAAGTAAATTCTCAAAATTAACACTAACAAAAAAACACTAACAGAAGTAACACTAACAAACAAACAAACAAACAAAAAAAAGTCGCTATAAACATTTCTTTTTTTTTTCGCCAACAAAAAATTATTATTATTATTATTATTATTTTTTTTTTGTAGAGTTTTTGTGTTTGCATTTTCGCTTTGTAGTTTTTTTTTTTTTTTTGTGAAAGTTTTTGTGTTTGCATTTTCGTTTTGTAGTTTTTTTTTTTTTTTTGTGCGGAAGTTTTTGTGTTTGCATTTTCGTTTTGTGGTTTTTTTTTTTATAGAAGTTTTTGTGTTTGCATTTTCGTTTTGTAGTTTTTTTTTTTGTAGAAGTTTTTGTGTTTGCATTTTCGTTTTGTAGTTTTTTTTTTATTATTGTGGAAGTTTTTGTGTTTGCATTTTCGTTTTGTAGTTTTTTTTTATAGAAGTTTTTGTGTTTGCATTTTCGTTTTGTAGTTTTTTTTTTTTTTTGTAGAAGTTTTTGTGTTTGCATTTTCGTTTTGTAGTTTTTTTTTTATTATTGTGGAAGTTTTTGTGTTTGCATTTTCGTTTTGTAGTTTTTTTTTTTGTAGAAGTTTTTGTGTTTGCATTTTCGTTTTGTAGTTTTTTTTTTATTATTGTGGAAGTTTTTGTGTTTGCATTTTCGTTTTGTAGTTTTTTTTTTTTGTAGAAGTTTTTGTGTTTGCATTTTTGTTTCGTAGTTTTTGCTTTCATTTTGTAGTTTTTGTGTTTTGTGTAAAGTTTGTAATAATTTGTGCTGTTGTTGCTAATTATTTTTGCAGAATTGTTCTCCAGAACTTTCTTCAATTCTCTCTAAACTATTTACAAGTGTTTAACTGAGTCTTGTTTTCCTGCTTGTTGGAAAATGGCATCTGTGGTTCCAATATTCAAAAACTCTGGAGAAAATTCTGACCCCTCCAATTATCGTCCGATCAGTCTTCTTTCTGTTATTAGCAAGGTCTTTGAGTCTTTGATCAACAAATTTCTCACATCTCATCTTGAGTCAAATAAACTACTGTTAGACAATCAATACGGTTTTCGATCCTCTCGCTCTACGGTCGACTTGCTAACTGCTGTAACTGAAAGATTTTATCGTGCATTAGATGGAGGCGGTGAGGCTAGGGCTATTGCTCTCGACATATCTAAAGCTTTCGACAAAGTTTGGCATGCTGGTCTTCTCCATAAGCTTGCTTCATATGGTGTTTCTGGGAAAGTTCTTGAGATTATCAAATCATTTCTTTCTAACCGGTTTATTAAAGTCATCCTTGAAGGCCAACACTCTTCTTTATTTCCAGTAACTTCTGGGGTTCCCCAAGGTTCCATCCTGGGCCATGTTTTGTTTCTTATCTACATAAACGATCTTCCTGACAACCTTTCATCTAAAGTAGCTCTTTTTGCTGATGACTCAACTTTATACTCCTGTCTTGACAAAAAGTCTTCTCTTTTCGATCGCCTAGAACAAGCAGCTGATCTTGAATCCGATCTCACTTTAGCAATAAATTGGGGTTCACAGTGGCTTGTGAATTTCAACTCTAAAAAAACCCAGTTGCTTACTGCAAACAACTACCGTAATATGGTCAACATTTCTATATTAATGAATGGCAATCCTCTAACTGAGTCCTCCTCTTTACGTCTTCTTGGATTTTCGCTTACTACCGACCTTTCATGGAAACCATATATACAATCGATTGCTAAATTAGCTTCTGCTAAGGTTGCTTCTCTTTATCGTGCTCGCCATTTCCTTACTTCTGATTCCATTCTCTACCTCTACAAATCTCTTATTCGTTCCTGTATGGAATACTGTTGTCATATTTGGGCTGGTTCTTCTAACGATTCACTTTCTCTTCTTGACAAGGTCCAAAAACGCATTGTAAATGTTGTTGGACCTGGACTATCTGCTAAGCTTGAGCCTCTTTCCCATCGTCGTAAAGTTGCATCTCTTTCTCTTTTCTACAAATACTATCATGGTCACTGCTCAAAGGAGTTATCATCTCTAGTTCCATCAACTAAAATTCATTCTCGTTTTACTCGTCATTCAGCTAAGTCTCATTCGTTTACTGTATCTGTCCCTGCATGCTCTAAAAACTTTTATTCATTTAGTTTTTTTCCCCGCACTTCAATCCTTTGGAACTCTCTCCCATCTTCATGTTTTCCTGACTCATACAACCTTCAACTTTTCAAGTCTTCTGTCAACCGTTTCCTTGCTCTATAACTCTGTTCTTTTTTTTCCTAATAACTCCCAACTTAATAGTGGTTGCTTGCAGCCTTGTTGGGAGTGAATGCAAATAAAAAAAAATAATAATAATAATGATGCCCACAAATATTTTAATACCACAATCAATATTTTATTATTGTACATTTAATGGATCCTTGCTAGTTTTAATACTATATATATATATATATATATATATATATATATATATATATATATATATATATATATATATATATATATATATAACATTATTTTATTATCGCTATATCTTTAAGTATATCTTCAAGTGCAAAGCATTATTTGATCGTATAATAACTTGAGAAAAGCAGAGAGCACTTTTCACTAGGGTCTTTTTAAATTAAAAAACTGCATACCTAGAAAAAGGTGTTTTAATAATATTTTATTATAAATTAATCATACTGTGTATTAAATTTGTAATTTAGTAATATGTAGCTATTATAGTAGTGTGTTTTTGATTAGTTTGTTGTCTATTTTTTAAATATGTAACACCATTTGAGCCGCTTTTTTGAAGGCTTTATAAATAACTTATTTATTAAACAAATGGGGTATGCAAACTCCGTTTGCATTTCACCTTCATTCTTCCTTTGCCCCCCTGCCTTTTCATAGGGAGGGGGCGGTGAAATCCGCAACCGACTTTTTTGACTAACCTCTTTAAAAAGCCCCTGTAAATGTTGCAGACAAAATTACTAAATTTTGCAATTATAGGTTCTAAATGTTAATGTTGCAGGTTCTAAAGTGTTGGGAAAAAATGCAGGTTCTAAAGTGTTGGGAAAAGATGAAAGATGTAAATGTTGGAAAAGGGTCATTCCATGTAAAACTGGGACAGTCATTTCAGTCACCCCTTGGATTTTCTTAAAATTTTTACCAGTGGTAACTATTAAGGAAACATGAAAAAATGCAAAATTTGAGCTTCCAATTCCAAACGGTTCAAAAGTTATGATGTTTTGAAATTTAGCCTAAAACGTTCCTTTTTTTAGGAAGTCCGCCATTATGGATTTTGTAGTTGTACTTTTAATTGAATAATTTAAGATCTAGTGGAAGAATGTGGCTGAAAATCAGTACCTGACCATTTTTGAGGGTGCTGAATTCAAAAATGTAAATAAAATAGTAAAATTTAAATTTTTTGATAGTTATTTTTTCATTTTAAAATGGCCAGTCAAATTTTTTGTTTTGTAACCATGGGTTGTGCTTTCATTAATTCCCGAAGTTGCCCAAGTCTCATGGATTCGATTTTTTTTTTCAAATGAAGTAGGTGATCCTAGGCTATCTTTATAAAAAAAATGGTTTTGGGTTCTTAAAGCATAGAAAAGTTATTTCATTTTGAAATTTAGACAAAAAATTTCTTTATTTGGCATCTATTCTCTATTATAGATTTTATAGCGATACTTATTGTGTGAATAATTTAAGATCTAGTAGAGAAATATGACTGCAAATTGGTATCTGACCATTTTTAAAATTAACCCAATTCTTAATATTTAAAAATAATTTTTGAATTTTATTATGTCAACAGTCCTTTTTTTTTCTTTTAACCATAGTTTGCATTTTACTGATTTCTGGAGTTGCCTTACTCTCATTGTGAAATAAGAGATCTTACTCTCATTGTGAAATAAGAGATCTTACTCTCATTGTGAAGAGGTTTTATAAAAGTTTAGGTGAAAGTAAATAAAAAATTATATTACTTTGCATAACTTGCATATTTATCTATTTTTTCAAAAGTATACATAGAAATATAATTTACTATACAACACATTGAACAATTTTTTTTTATTATTATTCTAATAGTTAGATATTATTTCAAAATCTTGGTTGCATGAATCAAATTTAAGGTTACAAGCTCAAATGTTTTGTTAAAAAATAGGAAACTAAAAAGCAAACTTTTTTGAAAAATATTACAAACCTGCTTTATTGAAAAAAGCTCAAAAATAAAAATGAAAAGGAATAACCAAATATTACTAAAATTTAAGTTCATATCATTTAAATAATGAAAGTAAAATATTAAATAACTTTCACTGAAAAGATAAAACTTGTTCAAATAAATTTTCATCTTCTTTTGAGATTTGGTACTGACGCCCAGAAGATGTTGAAGGTGTTTTAATAACATTCATTCTTGGCACCCAGCAATTATCATCCCGATTTGGCCAGTGGTATGACCGACTTGGGTAATGTGGATGCATAAATTTTACCATAAAATCATCATTCTCTTTATCAACTTCATAAACCATACCAAGCCAGTAAAAATCGTCATATTTGCAAAATAGATATTGTGACATCAAAACATTGTCAATTTTAATAATTTCATATTTTTGTTTTTTGAGGAAGTCAAATGTTAGAGAAAAATGATCATCATCGGATACCCTTTTCATTTTTATAATTGAATGAGAAGATGGTATAAATTGATGGAAACTTCTTGTCCCAGGAATAGTGGTTGCTATTAAAAGTCTATCTGTAAGTTTGTTTCTTACTAGCTCCATTTCTTCAGCAGAGACATACACAAACGTAATCCCACTGATTGACTTTTTACAGTATTCAAACATTGCTTGAAAAGACAGTATATGACCTGTGGTTGGATTCTGCAAGCTAGCTGTTGCAACAAGCCTTTTAACAGTGCCACCTATTCCATCACATGGAGATTTACCATGGCTTGTTGCAAAGAAATTCCAGATGCAACAAACAGAAAAATCTTGAGCGTGGTGACATAAATTGTAAAAATGTTTGCAGTTTTTATACTGCCCTGCACAGCCATCAGAAAAATAATGAATTTTTTTAATAACAAAGATGAGTTTTAACATGATTAATGGTTTTATGCATAACCTCATTGATAAATCCAACATCATGATTTAAATCATCTGAAATTACACACAAAGAAGATATTTCCAATTTCACTTTATTGTAGTAGATGACAACTGGATGAAGGGAACATTGACTCTTGCTCCAATGGTAACTCTGAATCTCGTCTTGTACTACAAACGTGTAATTCTCTGCAAAATCTGCCAGTACAATAGCCTCATCAATACTAAATGTTTCTTTGAGATGCTTTAAATAGCTAGATTGTGATTTTGCTATAAATGAATGAGAAGTGATATTATCAAGTTTTTCACACAGAAGCTCTATGAATTCATTTAATGGAAGTTTTATTGTTAATAATTCAGTTCTATCTGTCGTTGTCCACTGTTTGAAATCCACTGACTGTTCATTTTCATCACTGTCATATTGCTCTTTTGGATCATCATTTTGTGCGAGATACTGCTGGAAGTAATTTTGGGCATGTTGTATGCCAGGACAACTATTGCATCGGTGAATCATGCAAACTTTAGATTTTCTGCTGCAGACAATTTTTTCAATAATTTCATGGTAAGATGGTTCAAGGCCTATAGTACTCAACATTAATTTAACATTTTGGTGTTTTGTACACACACAAACAGAATGTGTACCTTTTGGACCAGCAAGGATGCACCATTTAGGTCGAAGACTGCAAAATTTAGAAAATCCAATTTTATGGCCTGGGTACTTTGTCTTATATGCCACATAGAGCTCCTTTAAGTTACACAAAATCAATTTTTTTGACATGTATTTTTTTCCCCCAACACTTACACAGTCTTTTTTACCTGGCATTTGCCTTGAATACTCATCGTCACAGTAAAAAAGCTTTACAAGTTCTATAACATCTTTACCGATTCAATGCCGTTCAACCACATCAGGGTATGCTATGATGCCTTTTTGGTCGCGTAAAAACTTTGCATTTTGAATTTTGTGTTTAGAAACTGAAAACTCTTTTGCTGCTTTTCTGATAGACCAAGATTTTGGGGTTAATGTCAAAATTTGAAGTTGCTGTCTCCTGTTAGAAACCTTAAGTTTTTCTTTCATGCATTCTACAAGGAAGTCTAGATCGCCAGCTTTGGTTTGAATTTCCTTTAGAACTTCATTTTTTGGTGCAACAAGATCGGATTCGGTTATATCCAGAGCAGTTGCAAGCTTCTTAATAACTGCTTCTTCAACTTGCTTTATCTTTCTCTTTCCAAGTGAAGGCTTGTTAGAGGTTTTGGGTAAATGAACTTTTAAAGGAGACACTTCAAGTTCGCATAAAGTACTGTTGAGCAACGATCTTGTTGATTCCAGTATAAGATCTTTTTCCATATTATCTTCAGGTAATTTCATCTCCAACTCGTTCTCTTCTGATTCTTCACTTGCTAATTTATGCCTGCATTGTGTACAAAGTTTTTCACCTGGAACTACGAATTTGCCTTTACTGCATAGGTATTTTGCTGTATCCAAGTTGATTTCACGAAGACTACCTAAAAAAAGGGAAGAACTCTTTTAATATGTATAAAACTTTTAATAAAACCTTCAAAAGTTTAAAGTTGTATGGCATTTAATTGTGTACTTTCAGAAGTCAGCTAAAAGGTTAAATATAGCTAAAATAGAATTTTGCTGCCAAGAATTTCATTATTGTAATTCAAAACGTTTCTACAAAACTAAAAGTTTTACTATAAATTCATGATTACTATAAATACCTTTTATAGTTTTGTTATGAGTATTAAATGGACCGCAGCACCGTGTTAATTTAGTTGTATAACGCTTCAAATAAACATGTTTATGATGGAGACAAGTTGTTGGTTTGATATTTATTATTGAGAGCCCAGTCCTCCACATTAATATTTCTCTTTCATATTCAATAATATCTTCAAAAGGTTCGATTCCCAGCAACGATGTATATGTTGTAAGATGACATTCACTTTCTAGGTTGATTCCAATAGAGCACTTTTGACTGTTTGCCATGACTAAGAAACTGAATTACCAAACAAGATTTAATAATTATTTAATCTAAAATTAAAATAATTTTTTTTATTGATATTTGTTATTATTAACTGTTGTTTTAAAACTATATTTAGACACATAACTGACGTCCCAAAACTATATTTACACATCACAGCAGGTGTTGCAAAACTATATTTTTCATGATAATTCACTTCACAAAATTTTATTTCTATATCTAAATCAACCTTAATAAACTGTTTTTACACACCACAATTGAACCCATGAGAGTCAGGCAATTTGTGAAAATGTTACCCCGTTTTTTGGTTAGGTAATATTATACCATTTTAAAATTCAAATATTATTTTAAAATATTAGGAATTTGGTTAATTTCTCTTCGTCTTTGTATTCAACACCTTTAAAAATGGGCAGATACCAATTTGCAGTCATATTTCTCTACTAGATCTTAAATTATTCACACAATAAGTATCGCTATAAAATCTATAATAGAGAATAGATGCCAAATAAAGAAATTTTTTGTCTAAATTTCAAAATGAAACAACTTTTCTATGCTTTAAAAACCCAAAACCATTTTTTTTATAAAGATAGCCTAGGATCACCTACTTCATTTGAAAAAAAAATCGAATCCATGAGACTTGGGCAACTTCGGGAATTAATGAAAGCGCAACCCATGGTTACAAAACAAAACATTTGACTGGCCATTTTAAAATGAAAAAATAACTATCAAAAAATTTAAATTTTACTATTTTATCTACATTTTTGAATTCAGCACCCTCAAAAATGGTCAGGTACTGATTTTCAGCCACATTTTCCCACTAGATCTTAAATTATTCAATTAAAAGTACTACTACAAAGTTCATAATGGCGGAAGTGGAAAAAAATAGGACGTTTTAGGCTGAATTTCAAAATGTCATAACTTTTGAACGGTTTGGATTTGGAAGCTCAAACTTTACATTTTTTTTTGTTATATTGATAGGTACCACTGGTTCAAATTTGAAAGAAATCTGAGAGGGTGACTGAAAAATTTCAATTTTTTGTCCCACTTTTACATGGAATTACCCAAAAGGATTTAATGTTTTATATTCTTAACGGATTTAAAATTTAAAAAATACTGCAGTGATAATAAAACATTTATTTAAAAAAAATAATACAAGTAGAAAAGTTTATTTTTATATTGACAATTCAAGTATACAATTTTTTTTTTACATATATAAATAAGTCTCTTTAATGATTTATGCGTAATCTAAAATGAGATAAAAAAGATTTATATTTTAAAGGAAATTAAACGCATTTGCAGTGGCAGATTATAATTATTTTTACAGTATTATTTTTATCAAGTTTAATCATTAATGCATAATCTATCATTAAAGTTACTAATTCTCCTAAAGGTTTTTACCCATAAAAGGTTGAGATTTCTTACTTAGAGTTTCAGGACTATTTTCAACATTTTGTTGGGACACAATTTAAAATGAAATTATTATACGTGTTTTAAAATTTGTATATCTTGGTGTGTCCAGACATCACTTTATAATATTGATCATTACATTATAATATAAATATTAGTTATATAGATGAAATTAATTAGAAATATTTTTACAGTCATTTCAATAATTAAAAACAAAAAACAAAATTGGTGACTCATTTAAATATTAAAAATATAAAATATAGTTTAGAACAAACAAAAAACAGTTTTAAAGCTTATAGAAAAGATGGGCAACGCAACATGAGATGTCACACAACTGTGTTTAAAAAATAAGGATTTAAAAAAAGGAAAAAATGCATGTCAAAATATAGCACAAGTGCTTTCTTTGTTCTAGAGCCACATTCGATAAAGTTTAAACAGAACCTTTTTTACCTAGGGGTAATTTAATTGTGAAAAAGATTTTTTTCTATTGATTATAATTTATATATAACCATAATTAGGATTACAATTTGTGGGAGCGGAAACCATCACAGAATTTATTTACTTAATAGGGCATGGTGAGCGTGGTAGAGGGTGTGGTAATCAGGCTTTTTCTTATAAAAAAAAATAGTGCAATAGGTCAATTTTTTTTTGTCATTAAAATCTCATAAAGATTCATGAGAGTGCTAAACAATTTTTATATGCTATTATATGTTACAGAAAAATTACTAAAAACCTTATTAACTGTTTATATAAAAAATATATAACTACTACGGTGACTTTGACATAATTATATACAAAATATATATAACTACTACGGTGACTTTGACATAATTATATACAAAATATATACAGTATCGGACAAAACAAGTACAACCAAATAATGCTTATTTAGTTTCTTTATATAAAAGTACTGCATTTTTTCAATTTAGAGAAATAACTATGTAACTGTTTAGAGACAACGTTCTTTAAGTTTTATTCATCACAAAGTTCATTATTTGTACACGAAAATTAATAAATTAATCAAAAGTATTAAAAAAAGTTGATTTCCTTCTGGATAAAACAAGTGCAACTCCACAAAATGTTGACCAAGCTGTATTTCGCTATCAATATTTCGTGGCGAAGCCTTTGTTGTCGATCACAGCCTTGCATCTTCGAGGAATAGATTCGATCAGGTGATCAACGAAACTTTGTGGAATCGCTGCCCAGGCCTTTTGGATTTGTTCAAACAGATGACCCTTATTACGAACACCTTTACGATTAATTCTGCGGTTGACGATCTCCCACAGGTTCTTGATAGGGTTGAGATCCGGAGATTGAGGCGGCCAATCCATCACTGATAGATGGTTGTCTTGAAACCACTGCTTGACTATGTTTGCAGTGTGTTTCGGATCGTTGTCTTGCTGAAAAACCCATTTTATTGGCGTATTTCATTCAGCATGAGGTAACATAACATTTTTCAGGATATTTTTATACATGAAACGGTTCATTGATCCATCGATTCGATGTATTGGACCTAGACCGTTAGCAGAAAAACATCCCCAGACCATTACATTGCCTCCACCATGCTTCACGGTCTTATGGCAGTAACGTAAATCGAGGCGTTTTCCGGCCGGTCGACGTACACGGCAAATGCCATTGCTCTCAATGATGTTGAACATCGATTCATCAGTGAACAGGACAGTTCGCCATTTCTGCACATTCCAGTCAATATGAGATGTAGCAAACAAGAGTCTTTTCTTTTGATTCTTTAGTGAAATCAGCGGTTTCTTTGCAGGGCGTCGAGAAAACAATCCGGCTTTAACAGCACGTCGTCTGATTGTTCAGTGTGATACAGGCAGCTCTAACTGCTTTTGTATCTCGACTGATGATATCCAGGGATCCTTCTTGACGGATCTGACAATCATAGAATCCTTTCTAGAAGTGGTGGAACGCAGTCTTCCACCTTTGTTATCTGCAGCCAACTTCCCCGTAGAACGATATTTGAAACATAGTCTTGATACGGTCCATTTTTTCACGCGATATTTATCACAAATACTTTTTTGTGACTTACGTAATCGCCAATAATTTTCTTTCTTAGTTCCAATCCAAGACTGTCGGGAGCCATTTTTGGCCTTGAAGTCATAAAAATAATAAAAAATAAATAATCACGCTTCTCAAGGCTTACAGTGTTACATTTACATTGTGATGATACAATAATGCTCTGTGGAACACAACGTCTGGATACTTCCTTTAATTATTAAAAAACTTCCGTGACGTTGAAACGGACCAGACTTAAGAAAATGAAACAAACCAAAAAAGTTGCAATTGTTTTGTCCGCTGCAAAATGGCACTTGTCAACGAAACTCTGTCTGTGTGCTGTCACCTGTCAGCTGATTGCTCTTGTCATGGCATTGCTATGACTCCAGACTCCTGAACTGTTTGCTGTGGTAGTATAGTTCGTTTCATTTTTAAGACATGTAAAATTAGGAACACTATTTAGCATTATTCGATGTTGGGTGAAAATGTTTTGTCCAATACTGTAACTACTACGGTGACTTTGACATAATTAGTATTAGTAAGAAAGAAATTAAATAGTATTAAAACGACAATGAGGTTTAAAAAATGAAAAAACAAAATGATTGCAAACAAAAGATCCGTCAAAAAAAAAAAAAGATTAAAAAAAATAAAAATTACTAACAGATAATAAATACAAAGTCACTCATAAAAATAATTTCACTAGTTGAGTATAAGACTTACAATAGATAAAAATGAATAAGTGCAAGGAAAAAGAAATATTTTGAAACTTTATGAAATTTTTACAAGCAGCATAAGAGAATCAGGGTAACAACATCAGTTTTTGCTATGTCTAATAACACCTGTCCTACAACATCTGGAAATATAATGAGGTATAACTATATCTACCCAACAACATCTGAAAATGCACTGAGGTATAGTAACATCTGTCCAACAACATCTGAAACTTCATTGATGTTTAATAACATCTGCGTAAAAATTATGTTTACTACAAATGTAGTTACATCTTTTCAATTATCTAAGTATAACAACATCTGTACAACTACATCTGGAGATTTTATAGATATAGTTTATAGTCTTATCACTAAGCCCCGTAGTTTACATCGTATTTTTACATTATAAGTTACACCTTTTCAATTAAGAACAACTACATCTTTTACATCTTTTAAATTATATTAAAAATAGCTGCAAGATTTTTTCAGATATAATTACATTAGAAAAAAATTATTAAATTATAATGCATTATTTTAACCAAATGTTGTTATATATATATTGTTTTTTTCAGATGTAGTTAAATCTGGAGGAAATTTTTTAAATGTTATTGGACTTAGAGAAAAATTAGCAGATGTTATTGGACTTAAATGTTATTACTTTAAATGTTATTGGAGAAAAATTAGCAGATGTAGTTACATCTTCCTAAAGATGTTGTCAATGAATTTGTAGATGATATTGGACAGATGTTAGAGTAAAAAAATAAATACAGATGATCTTGGGCAAAAGTGTACAGATAATCTTTGACTACTCTACAGATGTCGTTGTTACAGATGTAGTAATCTTTACCGCATAAGATATTTTATGAGAAACGAGTGAGAATTTCATAAAAATTTGTTACGAAAGTGAGAAAAGTTTTTTATTTGATTTTTTATTATTAGTTTAACAAATTTTCTTGTTATCTTTTTTTAAAAATATTTGTGAATATATTTTTTTCATAATAATGAAATACCTTTTCTCTTTTATTTGCTTGCTTTTTTCTTCGTCTTTTTTTATTTAATCTTCTTTATTT